AACACAAAAAACGCATTGAAAAACGCTGGCGAATAACGTGCGCCGATATTCGTCCCGGTGTGTACGAGCCTTTATCCTTGAGAAAAATCAAGAAAGCATCAAGCAAGGCTGGATTATGCCAGATTCAGACTACACGATATTTTTGTTTGTTACGATAGTTAACTGTGTCAGATTATGCGATTGTGACTCCTAAATTCTTGTCGTGGTGTGGACAAGAAACATGTCAGACTACATTGATTCCATTCAATCATCGCTTGGCGTCCTTTAGCGACGTGCGTGATGTCATTGAGAAGAACTAGCGACTGACTTCTGGGAACAAGAGCGTAAACAAACTACAAAAGCGGTGTGTTAGCTTAATGCTAATTCTAGTGTTCACCGGGTTGCGAAGTGCCTCCACTATTGTTCGCCAGCATTTTTTATTTTTTTCACTCTGTCATGGTAGTCCCTCGTAGCCTTCGCTTTGCTTCGTAGACAGAGTCTGGAATGGCATAATTGAAAAGTGTTTTCTTTCTCGCGGGGGGGGGGGGGGGGGCTTGTATGAAGTATAAAATCATTGGTTACCCGTAAAAGCCAATCACATAACGCAATCACCTCTCTCTCCAACTTAAACATCACCTCCATTCAAAATGTTTAACAAACACTCTTCTTGTTCGGGCTTTAGTTTGCAAATGCCGGGAATATTCTCCACAACAGAGCGAATCGCATCCCGTATCTCCATATCCGCGGTCGTTTTCGATTTCCCTAACCTAAAATACAATCTTAAACTCGGCGCTTACCGTCACGGCTCTCAGCCCGCCCTCTGTTCGTTGATTGGCCGGCTGTTTTCAGGCCGGAGTACAACTGAGAGATAGGTCGCTATCTCAGACTGAGTACAGAATCAAACTGAAATTGAGCGGAAGTACGAAGTCTGGCGTAGTCAGGCTAAGTCCCTCGAGGAAACATCATAAAGGCTGGAGTATTGTTTCCATAGCTCCACAAACCTTTTCTCCATTACATAATTCCACCTAGCAGCACCAATACCATCGTCTCTCTCTCTCTCTCTCTCTCTCTCTCTCTCTTTCGTTTCGCCATGTTTGAAAGCTGTGTACGGAAGAGCTTCTGTGCTCCTATTGGTCAACTTTACAGAACTCGTCGTGGAGGATCGAAAATAATGAAAACATGCTAGTATTTCTGTCATGACATCGTGAAGCATTGCAGATGTGTCGTCGGTTGTCGTCCACTATGACACACTATACGAGATTGAACAAAAGGTGTGAAACTTCGACTTGAAGAGGTTCTGCGCAGCCCGATCAGTGTATGACATCAAAGTACCATGAGAGCGATTAGAGAGCAGACGGCTCTGTATGTTTTCGAATCGCTCTAACTGTACTTTGATGTCATACACTGATCGGTCTGCGCACCGCCGCTTTAAGTTGAACACACCTAATCGATTCTGTTGTAGATATCTGTTGTAGGCCAGTAAGTTGTGCGTGTAAACCTCACTCCCCGTTCCTTGGCCTCAAGAGTCGCGCTAGCGACTGACGCCTTGTTAGCGAGCCCACCAGTGGCGGCCTTAAGCATCTGGGAGCCCGTTTCAATAAGTAATATGGGGCCCTACCCACATAAAACATAAAAATAATAGAGCAGAAAAGGCAAGGATTCCTGTTGGTTTGCATCAATGGTATATTATTTTATTACGTGCACTTTCAGCTTCATGAACAGGCAGCTCAACATAGAAATAATCCAACCTTATTTGATTCAAACTATATACAATTATACAGCGTTTTACGTTGGAATAAGCCTCGCCCTTTCACGCAGGTTAACTTCACTTTTGGTAGACTGAAGCTTTTCTTTTGTTGTCCGATATCTTTCGTTTTTCAGCACCACTGGCATATGTACGTTTCATTTCCTCTTAAAATTATTTTCCTGCTCAAAATAACATTTACCCTAATGGCAAAAAAAGGCAAAGGTATAAATACATAAACTACAAATATTATACTTCAGATCGCTTAAGCCGTTTGCGGGGGCGGTAATTGTCGCCATGGTAACCGCGAGTTCGACCAATCAGAGACGTCAGTGTTTTGCTTAGAATTGTGGTACTGGGTAGTGTAGTATTTCTCCAGAAGATCGCGAATAACAAGGTTAGTCAATCTACCTTGAATGGTTTAGACATTATGGCTGAAAATCAATATCCTACAGAAGAAATTGAATAGGATTTTGCTGGTCTGTTTGGGGGCCCCCTTGGAGGGCGGGGCCTGTTTCAATTGAAACGGGTGAAACATAGGTAAGGCCGCCTCTGGAGCCCACCTCCCATGCCGGCGACCCGGGTTAGAGAGCCCGCTGGGAATGGTTTCATTTGGTGCCGAGACCCGTTTAGGGGGTGAGTGTAACGGACGTACGAGTGTAACTCCCCTGGCCTCAAGAGACTAGTCATTAGCGTCCTTGTTAGCGCCCGCTTCCCATGCCGGAGACTCCGGTTCAAATCCTGCTCGGAGCGGGTCGAGTAGGACGGTTACACATCCTAAAAACGCATTGTCATTTAAGAATCACCACGATACCCTACATCAAATGGATCGTGCTAGTCTTCACTGTGCATTAAATATCGTGTAGTCTGAACCCAGCATTAAACTTACCAAGGAAGAAGTAACCCGTCGAGAGTGGCAGAAGAGAGAGGAATGTCAGTGGGTTCTCAAAGGAAATGGAGTACTCCATCGTAAGATACGCCACCCCAATTACCAATGAATAGAGACAACAGCAGGACGTATAGATGCTGAACATAATAAAGTAGCGCATATTCCTATTCCCAATACAGTTTCCTGTGAAAAAGCAGTGGTGGTCCCGTTTTAGAATCACTTTCTTACACACTTTACAGAAGTGGCGTCCATTCAGAAGGTAGTGTGCGTCAATTCTGTCTGGGCAGTCGGGTGAACAGACTGGAATAACTGTTTCGTTGGCACTCTCAGATGGGTACCATATAGTCATTGTGTAATTACCCAGCGCGTTCCCCATGAAGAACAGAAAGAGGGCAGTGTGGGTCAGCATGGTGGGATTTAACATCACATCTTGCCTTTGGAATACAGTGGGCGTGAAGAGGAGGAAGTAGAGGGCGAACGTGACCACGGTTGCCGTGTAGAAGTATGCAGGTGCAATCGTGTTGAGTAGTCTGAGTTTCACCATCCTGAACAACATGCCTGTTAAATTAATAAAACAAAATAGTCAACTGAAGATGATAAAATCATACAGTATATTTCAACTTAGATTTGGTATCAGTAGTTCATCCCTATAATTATGAAAGAAACTGTAAACTTTGGGACAGGAACAGTTTTAAAAGAAATAGATATTACATGGATATTACATATATACATAGATACTTTTGACTGGCTGTTAAGATACTGTGCCAGCAATTATCAAGAAAGTCCAAACGAACTTAACTGAAATACTTTGTCTTGTCTTCATGTGTGACCGAAAAAAAAAAATCGGAAATAAAATAAATAATAAATAAATAATTAAAATAAATAATTGGAAATATATATTTTATAAGGTGATGCGTGTAACTCCCCGGTCTTCCATTGGTCGAAAACAGATAGCCCCCCCCCCAAACTCAAGCCATTGGTTGAGCCCAAGTTGCTAAGTCTGACTTGTAATAAGCAATGTTGACAGCCACAGTTTTTTTATTAAGCAATAAATAGCCTAAATCTACAGACTGCTTAAAAGTCTTAAGACATTTACCTGTGCTAAAGAATTAACATGGAAAAAATATGCACACATCAGCTTTTATATCAAAGAACGGACACATACCCTATCGCTTCGATACGAAACTAAATTATTTGTTACACAGCACATCATTTACATCCTATAGGGTGTAAATATAGGCTTTAGCCATATAGCATGTTTTTATTAGTGATCATGAAGCTAAATGCGTGAGAGAAGGATGTGATGAACAGAAATGTCTCTTAGAGGTCTAATACTAAATTATAATACAAACTAACGTTTTATAGACATGGTTTGTAATGAATAGAGGAAGGAACTATGAGGCCCGACACATAATCTATCTCTGAAACACGCTTATTGTTGAGCAGGATGATGATATTGCTCGGTTACCTGACGCCGGTTAGACCAGAGGAGGAGCCGATGGATCAGCAGCACTGGAGCTCGAGCTCATCCCTCACCCTCGTGCTAGGAGATAAACCACATGTAATTCATTCAGAAATACTAAATCAGTTATCATTCTGTAACACTGAGCACGCATCTCATCGCAATGTCTCTCAGTGGTTTAGCACCGCCGCCTGTTGGTGTGGGTAGCCTACAACATCATCAGCTTCACCATAAGAAAATCAGACAAACTTGTATAGCTACACTTGTGTTATGGCCTTATGGGTATGTTTATGTTTATTTATTCTTTTATATTGCTTTGTGATTTTATAATCCCTATTGTATATGTATACCGCCGAATCATACTGCCCCCCCCCCCCCCCCATTATTATGGATCGACGTACAACTTTCTCCAGCAGATGGCAGTGCAAACCAACGCTTAATTTTTAGCAGATACGTTTATTTAAAGAGATAGTTCACCCAAAAATGAAAATTCTGTCATCATTTACTCACCCTCAAGTAGTTCCAAAACCTATATAAATTTCTTTGTTCTGATGAACACAAAGGAAGATATTTTGAAGAATGTTGTAACCAAACAGTTTTGGGGCACCATTGGTTCTACTATGGAAGTCAATGGGTGTCGTCAACATTCTTCAAAATATCTTCTTTTGTGTTCAGCAGAAGAAAGAAACTCATACAACATGAGAGTGAGTAAATAATGGCAGAATTTTCATCTTTGGGTGAACTATCCCTTACATTTTCTCTCCATTGTTTTATTCAGACAAAATCATGCCTTAAGACAAAGTTAGCATTCTATGATGTGAGCCATGCTAACAAGCTCACACCTGTGATCCCCAGAAAAACAGTCAAAACTTTATAGTTCGCACGACCTCTCAGTTTTCGTGTGTGTTGATGGAGTGTTCCTTCACAGACGGTCCCTAAGAAGGGCGCTCCCCGTGTGTGCTCACTGTGCTGGTGCTGATGCAGACACACTGAAGCATCTAACCGGACATAAACCACAGGAGGTGTTTCAAAGGTAAGCCGCACTATTGTTATATTCACATCGCTTCCGATTAACTGTTCTCAGTTATATCGTACAGGAAATTATTCAACCAACGATTCCATGATTAATTCTGAACTTCAACGGATTTTAAAAGTGAGCGTTTTTAACAGTTGTAGCAATTGTATGTAAAACGCTATTGCAGCAGAGACCAATGCATGGGTGCTAAACATATAGGAGGGGGTGATACATAAATAATTGAACCGTTCGATGTTAAATGGGCATTGTGATGGCACTAGGTTTTCTTTGGCTTGTTTGTTTACCGTCTCGTGTAAAACATCAAGCCCCGCTGGTTTATTGTGCCATGGGAGTGCGCACGTTGTGCATTAATTGTGGGAACCTATAATATTATCATTTTAAAGTTCTGTTTGCTCCGCTGCTACTGGTAATGGCTGTATGAGTGCTGACAGCAGGGAGTTTAATGTCTGGATAATGTATTGGGGAACAAGTCAAAGCTGCGCGTTACAAATGAGAGGATGGGGGCGGATAGATTTCTCCACGCTGTTGCCAAGAAGCCGCGATGATGCATAATAACTTTCACAATTAGAAAGGTAGTCTCTAATCTTTCCTTTGAGAATCAAAAAGTATTACTATAACTGTTAGAGGGTGAATATCGAACCTGTCATGAACGTGCAGGTCATGTCAACAAACACAATATGAAACAAGGGACAACAACAGAATTCATTTTATTTAAGATATATATATATATATATATATATATATATATATATACACACAGTGTATTAATCATATATTAAATATATTAATAAGTATTAATCACCCTGAATCCACCCCTACACACACACACACACACACACACACACACACACACACACATAGCCTATATATATAGGCCTATATGTGCATACATTCATAGGCCTACAGTACATGCATATATATATATATATATATATATTGCTTAAATGAAATTAAATGAAGCCTATTTTTGTTCCATGACAATTAAGTACATTCCCCCATTCAATATTGCAAAAGAATTTTAAAAATAATTAATTATATAAATGATTTGATATAACATTGTTATTAAATATAATAATTATTTTAATATTTAATGAAATATGTTTTAGACATTTATTAGATTTAGACATCATGGTAGTATATTTGTTGTGCACCTCCTTTAATTTATGCCATTTTCAATAAAAAAAAAGTCATACAGTGAAACTCTAATAAGAGTAGGCTAATCATTGGGATTAAAAGCAATTCATTAAAAAAATAAATCAAATGTAAAATGTCCAAATGCATTAAACCATCCAAATGAGAATGATAATTATGTGTATTGTTATGAAAGTGATGTTACAACGCACAAATTTAGATTATTTATTTTTAGCAAAGAATTCATGAATAGTCCTTTTTACATACATATTGTAACATTGTTGTCAATGGGGTTTTCAGTACCCAGCATGCATTGCATGAGCCTGGAGGGGAATAATAAAAGTAGAAAGTTGTGTCATTTTATGTGTTTTTGACTGCGTATGGGTTACTGGGATCTTATAAAGGCTTTTGTTAGGGCAGAATTTGCTACTGTTGTGAAGAGGGCAGTGTGTGCTCTGTTCAGAGTGGGCTAATAATGCTAACGCTAACACTGGTATATGTTGCTTTTCTTAGTAATCTTCAATGCTGAAACTGGTCTCTGCTTATCTAGTGTAACCATGCCGTTTACCAGCAAAACGAAGATGATAAATCTAGTTGACCAAAGTGTTCCTTTAACTATAATGAAACAGCAGGCTCTTGCTGGTTTAGCCAGTCAACTAATGTGGTCTTATTCCATGTCCTAACAAGCGATAAGATCAGTCTTCGGTGTAAATAAATCAGATCTTTTATCAGATCATTTTCTGTTCCACAACAACAACAGGGCATCTATCTCATCCCAGAGATAAAAGAGCAACCATCACAATTTATATCAAGCAGAAATAGGATTCTAATCCTCAGTGGTATTTGAAAGAATCGTCACATCTTCGGAAAGAAGTAATCTGTAAAAAATAAAAAAATAAAAAAAATGTTCTCCCACTAATTGATAAAATGCTGTCTTCACCAATGGCCAGTGTCCATCTATCAAGGATAAGACACAGTTATGGCACCACTCATATATCTTCCATCTAAATGGAGCATCTTGGAATGATATTCTGCAATGCACAGGGATGTAGTGGAGGCTAAACGCACGTAAACGCCGTTTACGCACCTCCCAATATTCGGAAATAGCGTTTACCCACCTCCAAAGTGCGTTTATCCACCTCTAAATTGCGTTTATCCACCTCTAAATAGCTATAAATTAAGCTTATGTCGTTTTAGTTTCATATTGTTAATTATTAGTTTCTTAGGTTGTTAAACCTAAGACGAACTCTTTCATATTGCGCTGCATTACTGTCAGTGTTGTTGACTATTACTGACGGTGGTTGCGCTGTTGACGCTCGCGCAGCCTCTCGAGGAGAAATCTACTCAAATGAGCGCACACACACACTCAGTTAACAACATACTGCCTATAAAAAATCTTAATGTGGAGTTTTTATATTTTTAACATATGTTAAGCAACCTCAATTATTTTTCCTGAACACCATCACGATTAAAAATGTGACATTGATTTCCGACAACAGTTCAATAAACAGTTAAAATTAAGTCACTTACATTTTAGATGCAATATTGGCTGTTTTTGTTCTGTTTCAGCAGCGAAAATAGTTCCAAACAAAATTCACAGCAGAACCACGGCGCATCTCACAGGAACACTCAACCTGTTTTCATTACTGAATGATTCAGCATTTTGAACGAATCGATTGAGTCAAAGATTCAATGACCCATTCATAAACATCTGTCTCAATCTTGAATGAATCAGCCGTTTGAACAAATCGTTTGAATCATGAATGAATCAATGACTCGCTCATTAAGACGGTCGCCTGCCGCCACCTATTGGCGGTTTCGTGTTATGTTTAAAAGTAGATCATTCTTTCCAATGTTTCTTATTTGTAAATTTAAATCAATTTCATAACATTATTTTATGCAATTGTAATTTTTCAGTGTAAATGATTTAATTTGATCAGCCCTATAGTGTCTTATTATTCGAAATAATTGAATTTATTGATCAAATTTAGGAATTTAAAATGAAAGATGAAGCATACATTTAATAATATTGGGGAGGGGATGCCCTTTAAAGGTGCAAATATTACAATATGCCGATTTAAATATCAAAGCTAATTGAACACTGATGAGAATATTGTTTCAGAATAATAAAAAATAAAAAATCCTGACGAGAAACTTTTTTACTCGGACAAGTGAATGACAGATTTACTTGTCCTAAGGTCAGGACAAGCGTATGAAAAGGCTTAATGTCGAGCCCTGCCTAATAGCAATGTCATCAGGACATCAGGATACACATACGCAGTGGCCCACCTTACCGGGTGACCACGTCGTGGTCCACCAGAATTTATAGTTTACCCACCTCTTTTTTTACCACTACACCTCTGGCAATGCATGATTACCAAAGTGACTATAAAGCAATTAATAGTAGTCGAAATGTCACTGCACTTATGACAGAATGTTGGTTGAAGCTCATTATTGGATCATGAATAAATCATCATTTGAAACACCTGCTCTTGGCTGATGTCTCTTTCAGCTCTTGGTCCTTACTAGTCTCATTAAAGGAGAGATATTCGTGGCACCTTGCTTGAATTGGTTTTTGCTCTGCAAGTTGCACCGGATGGGTGAAAACTTCTGGCTCTCACACACAGTGGTGTATGGTTTTCATGTTCCAAATAATTTTGATGTTTGCATGGTTTTCCGGATTAAAACATATGAATCAGCATTCCCTTACTTTATCAACAGGCACATACAATAGTATTTTTTAATGTTTATTTTAATATTTTTTTAAACCAAGTACATTAAAGTCTCATTAAGTTAATATGCTTTTTAACATTATTTGCATTGCTTCAATATAATGTAACAACTACAATAATACCATAAAGAGCATTTAATGTAAAATTTAATGTAGATTTATTATTTGTAAGGTATCATGAAGATCTCAGCAGAGATGCCCCTTTAATTTAACTAAGTGCTTGGTAAAGCATCTCACTCATTGATCGTCATTTCAAGTTAATTTCGATTCAGATATGACTGAAATGTTGTCCAAGTAAGTGTATGATGAAAAACAGTAAACTAATTGTAGAATTTCACTCACCTTCATGTCTTTCCAAACCCAGAAGATATTTTAGAAAGAATTCAGTAGCACTGTGACTCAATTGAACACTAAATGAAGCTCTAAAGTGTGTGGTCAAAAAAGTATGCAAAAAAGTGCAAAAACAACCCAATATTTAAGAAATTTTAACAGTAGCGTGGCAGACGCCATTGCTCCTGTGTGTCATCCAGTCCAATAGGTGGAGGAAATGCACCAATCTCTTCTTCTTCTGCTCTTTTAATGTAAAACATGAATTTCTGCCACATCAATAAAACGTAAACAGTGATATATAAACATAATATATTTACATTGTTAGTCAAATTAGTTGAATTAAACTAGAGTGCACTAGTATAGTGTGAAATGGACAATTTGATCTGAATTTGATTTAAGCAACATCTCTAATGCTTTAAATTATATTTATCAGCTTTTGAAGAAGACAGCTAGAGCAAACCATTTTACCCAAGTGAAAAAAACCCAAACCTTTTTTAAAGTAATTTTAACAGTAATGTAGGGCACTTCATTATGCCTGTGTGTCATCCATTCTCATTCTTCTTTTGCCATTTTTAATGATGGTTGAGAAACTAACGCAAAATATGGATGCTTCCGAAAGCTTAAAAATGCTGCCTTCGGAGGATGCATTCCAAGGTGGAAAGGCATCAAGGCATGTCTGAATCCAATGTTAGCTTCACTTCCTGTTTCCTTATACCTTCATCTGATCGAATTTTGAAGGCAGCACAGATGTATATATACTTAGCTTCCTTTGATATCCCACAATCCTGTGCTTTCCATTCTGTGA